TGATCTTCCGAAGTCCCTTCCAGCCGTAATGTCTATGAAATCTATGAAATTTCTCAGTTCTGTCTCTGCAATGGACTCTTAGGCCCAGTCCTATGTACTGTTCACATGTGTAACTGCATTGCTTCACCCTTACGCAATTTGAAAGGTTTCTACTTCACTGCCCTTTGAACCAGCCACGGCACCCTTAATTGAGCATTTCGTGGGTGAAATGGCTACGTAACACAGGGGTTCCATCTTTGCATTTGGAAGCAGGATAAAACCTTGGACCACCTCATATCCCTATTTACCTCCCTGTTTTGGCTGCCAAGGAGGCAAGCTTGGAAAGGAGAGATGGAGAAAACTCTTGGCAAGGCCTAGCTTAACCTAGTGGTTAGAGCACTGTGTTGAGAAAAGATGGTGCAGGTTCAAACTATTTCTGGGTAAGCAGAACCTAGGACCCATGTCTGCTGCTTCCTGGGCAAGTGGGCGCACCAATTAATGCCCTGCTGGTAAGCAGGGGCAAACAGTCCTCAGGCTTGCTCTCTGTCATAGCTGTATCACAGTCAGAAGCTGAGAAACCAAAGGTGTGACCTGCTGTGGTCTGCATGTCAGGCCCAGTACTGCTCCAATGACAGTGCTACTAGTGATGCCCTTGTGTGCTGGGACTGATGCACCCAGGAAATCTTCCCTTCTGACAGCTGGAAACATTCATTGCTTCCAACTAAACAGTTGAAAGCTGTTGAAAATATTGGAGGGGCCATGACTGGCCCCCAGCCTCACAGGTCTTTAGAAGTCCGACTTTTGGGCAAAGCCTTCCCTCAGGTCCTCAAAAGCCTTATGGAGGGAGAAAGCATCAAGATTGTCTGCAGTCCAGCAGCAAGGCAGGATTGCATATGTGGGGCCTGGTTCTCCAGCTTGGGGCAGCCTGTATGGACTATTTCCCTAGTGCAGGGGTTCTCAACCTTGTTAGGCTCAAGGCACCCCTCAGAAAATGCAAGCTCTTAGTCTTCACTTGTTTGAGTACAGAAAAATATTAGAGCAGTTCTTCTGTTGCAAAGAACTTTGAAGGACTGCAATAGGTCAGCGTGGTTTTAAACACTCTGGATTTCTACTGGAAATCTCTGGGTTTCTCTTGTGAATCATGTTTGCATTCCTACAAGTGCTAACATTGTGTGGCCCCCTGCAGCACCCCTGAAAGGATCTCAAGACACCCCACAGTGCTGTGGCGCCCAGTTTGAGGATTTTATCCTAATGGTTCTGGATGTGCAGCAGGTGTAGCTGAGAGAGATGCCCTTGCTCTAATGCCCCTCTGCTGAACATGTCCTCCCATCAGCTGTGGTTGTGTAGATTGATCTGGGGATGGGAAGGAAGTGTGCATCATGGTGCCAGAGTAAATTAGCCTTGTATGGAAGCTCAGTCACTGGCACAGTCTGGTCTCACTGTGTTGCAACAGTGAAAAGGTCTGGTTAAAATCAAGCAGAGTTGGACAGAGCCCTGCGTACCTTCACCCATTCCCATTCCACCACAGCTCCCATTCTTGCTGTACCATCAGAAAAGTTACCTTAATTCTTCACTGTCCATGGATAAAGTCTATGGGCTCCTCAAATACAAAGAGGATTCAAGTTGAATGGCCGCTATCTGTTGCAGCTCCTCTTCTTCCTCCCACTGTTGCTCTGCTTCAAGCTTTTCCTCCTCCTTCTCAAGCTTATTTAATCAACTATGACTGTGCTGATATGTGAAGGATCACTTCCAGGGATTGCGCTGTCCTGAGCATGTAGGTTCTGAGCAGGGACCAATTTGCTCATTGGTTCATCTCATATTTCTTTCACAAAAGCATCAGCATTAATGCTAGTTGGTGACTGCAAGGGCTGAGGCTCAATTGCATAAGTTGGCAAGGACTTGCTGCAAGCTCCCTGCACTGCCTTATGCACTACTTCCTCTTATTGTGTGATGCAAAGAAGAGATTTCTTGCAAGATGCCTGCCAATCTGCGGGAGAGTTACTCTGGAGTGGACTGCTTTTGCTTGGTTTGTGTGTCCAGGAGGGATGTAAAAGGTTTGAGCCCCAGAGCTCCTGTGTAATAACTCAGCTTCCTGATGCCCCCTGATGTGAGTTGAACAAGTTCAGGGACTTGAAGCTGCCTTGTCATTTGCCTTCCCCTTTGTACTGGCTCCTCAGAACACAGCACCCTTCCCTGGACATTGCTCAGTGAAAAGGATTTTCTAGACATGCCTATTTTAGGGTGATCTTGTTTGAAGGAGGAAGAGGTATATTCCCTAATGAGACAGTTTTGTAATTTGACATCTTTTCTTGGTGATTCATATTTAAAGTAATTTTGGCTATGAAAAAAATTCTCAACTTTAATATTCTGCATGGGATGCTCAAGCAGATCTCCCATGCACATGCTCTCCCTGATCAAACTAGAAATATTGTCAGCCTGCTGAGGAAGTACCACTGCTGATTCAGCCTCTGTAAGATTTTCTTTCCCAAGCTCTCTGCCTAGACCTGCTTCTTGGTGGAGACAGGCCAGGTGACTGTTGGGGAAACAGTGGGGCTAGTTCTCCTTTTCCCTCCCTGCACACATCCTGGTGATCTGCTGGCCATTTCCTTTGTGTCTGTGAAGACAAACCTTATGACATTGGCCTCCTCACCTCTCATGGCCCTCTCAGCTATTTTTCTCTCTGCACATTATAGTATTGCTTGATATACAATACCCCATCATTGCTGGATACCACACACCCCATCATTGTATTGGTAATTTCATCAATCATTTCTAGGGTCTTGTTTTTCTGTAACAGAAACAAATGAGAAAGGACAATAAATGTGTTAATTCCTTCATTCTCCCTTGAACTCAGCAGAGGAGATGCAATCAGGATTTCAGGAAGAGATGAACTTGACTGTATTCTAAACCAAGGAGGACTCCTTTGTTCCCAGCATCCTTACTGATTGCCCTTAGCCCTAGTAGTCATGGAGTTATCCCTCATGTTATACCTTTCCTTTTCTTGCTCATGTTCTGCCCTTTATCCTCTTAATTTCTACCAAGTGCCATTTATTGCCCCCTTTTCTCCTTGCCATGTACTGCTTGGTCCTTATATGCTGCCTTCCCTTTCTTGCTGAATGCAGAGGGGCTTAGAGACAAAGCTTTCTCTTTCTTGAATGTGGAGTCATGGCTCTGTGGCCGGATGATGAACTATCCTCTAGGATTCTTCACTTCCATTTGTATTTTTTTGTAATGTTTTCCTCCTATCAGTTGTATTCCTCATTATCTTCAACTTGGGGGGATTAGATGATTAGAAACCCTGATCATGTGATGTGATGTGATGCCATGGCCATATAATCACAGGTTTAATCTCTCCTCTCTTTGGCAGTATGGAATGTAATTGGATCACAATCACCCTGTGCTAAGCAACACCTGGCCGTTGTCTCCTAGCATCAAATGCTCTGCCCCATGGTTGGCTATGTCTGTCTCATTTGAATAAAAGCCAGTTCCTTCCTCCCAGTGGGGTTGGAGTACTGTTGTAGCCATGATGGTCTGGGCACTATGCAAGGAACAAGGTGATTTTAGGGACATATTTTCTTGAACCAACTTTATAGCTGGGAAAGAATTCCCCACTTCAAGTTCTACTTTTTCCGTCATGTTTGTCTCCCAGTCACAGTCTTTTTGCTTAGTTAGAGAAGTTTCTGGGCACCAGGTGCCATTCTTCTGTGTCCTTGGCTAACATTGTTCCCAAATTTTACACCCGGTCCAATAAAAGACACCCCCAAAATTCCCCCCACGTTTTTTCTCACTTTCACAGTCTTTGTCTCACACAGAGACACAGAGCCCCTACCCCCATGCTTGACTTCCTCAAACCCCTCCTCCCCCTGCCCCACCCTTCTCCTTCCTGACCGGGAGTCTCTGCCACCCACCGGAGCCCTCCCTGGAAGGAACCCAAGGAGAACCCCAGTCCTTTGCTGCCTCCCCCCAGATCCCGTCAGGCACAGCTCAGCTGCTCTGCAGAAACAGGCGTAGGAAGAGGAAAATGGCAGGAGGAAAAGGGAAGGGGGAACTAGAGGAGGGAGGAAAGGCCCCTATGGAAGTCAGAAGAGTGGTAGTGGGGGCTCTTATTGGGTCTGCAGCAATCTGGGCTTGACCTTGTCATGTCTGAATTTTGAGTGCCGATGCCAGCAAAGCAAAGCAAAGCAAAAGACTATAATAACTTAGTAAGGACACTGGCCATACAAACCCCTCAGCACTAATGGCCTTTATGCCTTTGCTGAAAGTTATATTGCAGTTGGAGTTTGTTAAAAGTTTGTTTTCCATAGTTAAGAAGCTTGGTGATGGAAAATTACAGGGGCCCATCACATGCTTAACCTTTTGAACCTGCTGAGGGCAGTAAAGTAGGTCAGATGAATAATGTATTTAGGTCAGATGGATATGTATCTAGGTCAGGTGAATACGTATCTAGGTCACTAGTGTATGAATAATGTATCGAGGTCACTAGTGTAAGAATGTAATTGGCGGTCAGTAAATATTCACAATTGGCATGTAGTGATTGGTCACTGCTGACTATAACTAAGAGCAGATTCCCGCTCAAAGCGGAGAACTCCGGGCACACCAAGGTGACATAGTCAGCGGATTGGCCACTCGCAGACATCTCCCCGCCATTCGACCTTCAGTTTGGCGTATTCCTACCGGTTCGTTCATCCGTTCATCCTTCTCCCTTCTCGTTAAAGAGCTCTTGGAAGTTTATTGATCGAAGGTGCATTATAGATTTTTTCTGTGCATGAGCTGTTGACCAGTTCTGGGACTATTGAGTCGGGCAGCTGCACCTAGCCTCTGGGTTAGAAAGCAAGCGCTCAGCTCAGGAACCACGAGAACCAACAGACCCCTTTAGATGGTTCTGTTTTATGCACTGTAACTGAACAAGTCAGCTCTCCTACCTACGCTGCGACTATCTGTAGCGTGAGTACAATAAACCTTTCATATAACCACTACGCTCCAAGCCGCCTGACTCCTACTCGCCGCTAATCCCCACCTGTCCGGTCATCAATCCTTTCTGCGCCAAGCCGGTCGTGCCGACCGAGGCTCGCAGGTCAAGGGTACACCAGGTTCGGAGTGCAACAGACCTCTAGGGGCTGAGACTTGAAGCAGCTCCTTTGTTTTCAGTGCAGCAGCACCCGAGTCAGCGTGACAGACAGCTGGACAGACAGACAGTGCTGCAGGGGATCAAAACTCCCCCCCACATCTAAAGGGTACAACTGGGTATTTTGTCCCAAACCTAATAATTACAGAGGACTGGAACTGGCTGAGATTTGGCAGAGCTCACAATTGGCTTTTCTACCAAAGTTATTACCATGTTGTTGCATGCTCAGACCTTGTGACCTGGGCCTGAATTACAGGCCATAACTAAGAAGGGTCACAACCCTGAACTCATTAGCCACGAGGAAGGGTTGGGGACCAGGCAGAGAGAGGGGCCCAACTGCACCACTTGGCCCAAACCCAAGGTGGCACCTGTGGGGCAGGAGGGATGGACGGATAAGAGAGGTGGCCCTAGGACAAGAAATAGGAATCAGATCCTCCCTCACCTGTATGAGCTTCAGCCAGAGAGACCTGCCACCATGAACGTTTGTTCAGGGCTGAGCCTCTGGCCTGAGATTCTGGAACTGCCCTGCAGGCTGATGTCAGCCCTCTATGAGGTCACTGTCTCTCTCGCCCAATGCCTGATATCCAACCAACGCACCTCTATGAAGTCACTGTCTGCCCCACCCAAAAAAC